CAGTCGAAACGTCGCGAGAATTTTATTGTTTTATATATTTTATTATTTTATTGTTTTCCCTTCAACGTGACTTTACCGAAAGAACCAAGAATATATATTTTGACTTCCGTTTATTCAGGACCCTGGGGTGCCGCAAAAAGGTTCATTTAGGGCCGAATTGCATCGGTGTGAGATGAGGGAAGCCCCTGCACAATCAGCTGTGGCTTACTTCTGTGCACTAGCTAGAAGTCCCGCTTACACTAAGCTAAACTATTTTTTATTTTACCAGGTAAGGCCCACTGAGCTATATTGCTCTTGTTAGAAGCGACCTGGCTATCACAAATGATAGCTCAGTGAAGTGGCTTATCACGCGAAAATGTATAAGTCAAATAGCCTAAATGCACGTTGATTCTAAATGTGGAAGGAAAAAAACGGAGGACCCGGAGACAAATCCACACCTCCACGGGAAGAATGCAAACTCCAAATAAACAGCAGGCATCAGTCAGGATCGAACCCATGAACTCCTGCATACCAGTTTGTGGAGACGATTAGCTCTCTGCATGCGGAACCAATCTAACCCTATCAATTATCCCGGCACTATTGAAAAACTTGCGTGCAAATGTTTTTTCGAATTATTTGACAAAGAGCCACTCTGCTACAATTTCATTGCCGCACGAGGAGAGATTGTGTGCCACACCTGTGGGGCAGTGTTAAATAACTGCAGGACAGTTCGCTATTAAATACGTGAACATTATCATGAAAACACAAAACATGCTTCTAAAGCTTCTAGAAGTTCTCTCAAAATCCCTCATCTCTTTATTTCTTAATTTTATCTCCTTCACTGGACCTCGTTTTCATCGGGCCACTCCTGCGTAGGCGCCGTGCCCGTGTCGTATCTGCGCATGTACACGCTCAACAAATGTTGACGTATATGTGCCCGCCATGTGTGGGAGCGCATGCTAATGGCGTGCACTATTGGACTGCACTACGTTGGTGCTCAGCTGCTCGCCTTCCCTGGTTGTGCACGTGTGTCCGGACTGCACGGTCTGCCGAACCCACCGGACTACGGCTTTGGGCGCCACGCTGCTACCGCTGTCATCACTTCTTCATCAACCTCCACAGGTCAAAATGTTGGTCGGAGTTCACCCGAACCCAGGTCCTGCTTGCTTCTCTCACCTTGACCTCCTCGACCTTCATTACGCCGCGACTCTGCACTATCTACACGACACCAGCCTCATCTCCAAGCTCGCCGACCTCGGCCTCCTCTATGGTCGTCACCATCATCATCGTCGGTCCCGTGGCTGCAGGGGTGGCAGGAGCTGTGATTCCCGGAAAAACTCTCCACTTACTACAAAGAACCCTGGACCAAGGTTTCATCACACTCATTCACCTACCTTGTCCTTCATTTGCCTCGTCCTACTAAATTCCCGCTTAATCACAAATAAATCTGTACTTATCTACGATATCATCCATGATCACCAAATTGATCTGCTCATCATCGAGACCTGGTTCATACCAGACATCCCTCCCGCTCTTACAGCAGAAGTTTCTTCCCCCGGTTACAGCATCTTTCGTGTCCCTCACGCGATGGATCGCCAAGGCGGGGGCCTGGCTGTCATTTTCTAACAATATTTTCATCAAACCTCTCTAATAATTATCGATCATTTCATCCACCTACGAATTTCAGTCACTGTTCCTCATCACTATAACCTGTTTTTTCACTCAAACTCATCTACCGTCCCCCAGAAGGAAGCATCTCCATGTTCCTCAGTGAGCTCTCGAATCTCATCGATTACTTACCCAGATCACCGCACAGGTTCACATTCGCTGGTGATTTGAACTGCCCGGTCCTTCCATACATTCCATTGATAAATGCTTGGCTGACCTATGAGTCTGCCACAACCTGGCCGTTGTAAACTGGCCCACTCGAACCTCTCCCACTTATATTGAGAGCATACTGGACCTAATAATTTAATCTGACTCGGACCGTCACATCTCCATATCTAGCCAGTCTAAGGTCACCTTCTCGGATCACCATTCCGTCCTCACACATCTCCACTCACCCAAGCCACCTGCTGCAAACTCATCCTGCATTACTCATAACCTGAAGGGCATTGACCATCGCACCCTCAGGCTCTCACTTGCAAACATCCAATCCATTGCATCAACTTCTCTTGACCCAAACATCTGTGCCAACCAAGCAGAACAAGACCTCAGGGCCGCTCTGAACAAAGTCGCACCACTTAAAATTAAGGTCAGTCAGATCATCATCTCACTACTCGCTTTGGCTGTCTGCAGATGCCATCCTGACAAAGCATCACAGGAGATGATGTGAGCACACCCGAGTGTGCAGCAGTCTGGCATCTGATCCGAGTCGTTTATAAAGCTGCCTGTTAGACCAGCAAACATAATTTCCTTGCCACTTGTGCCACCTATGTGTAGTGACATATAATGGGTCACTACGGCACCTAGCGCCAGTTACTGATTGGTAGTGTAATAGCCCACTCTGCCAGCAGGGTGTGCTATGTAATGGAAAAGGGTCCCTAAGGGGCATGGTTCTGGTGGCTGGCAGAGAGAGGGCATCTGAGGACATAGCAGCCCAGTTGGCTGGCAAGGGCACGTGACAGGACAGGGTAATGATGTGGGCCAAAGGTGACAGAAGGGACACGTGGTGTATGGCCCAGAATCTTATGGCAAGTTCCAGAAGGGGGCGTGGCTGAGGGCAGAGCCAGGCCACGCTGGGGGGCATAAAAGGTAGGTCCCGGGGTCCCATTCGGGCTGTCTGCTGGAATGGAACCTGCCGTGCTACGTCTTCTCCTCGGGCTCCGGTCTTCGTGCTCGGCATCTTGGGTCAGACAGTGTGCCAACTGACCTGACCCGTTTATGTAGTTACCCCGTGGTAGTTTCTGGTTACGTAGTTATCTCGTTGTGGTTACGTTTATATAGTTACCCCATTGTGGTCTTAGAATAAACGCATTGCGTCCTGAGTTAAGTGTATCTGAACGGATTCACTTGGCTTCAAGACAGTGACATTTTGAAATTTACCTATTTTCAATGAGAAAACGGGTGAATTCGTGTTTTTTTGTTCACGTAAAGTCCTGGTCACAAAAGCCAAGTTTATGGGGAATAATAGCCATTTTCTATACTTTTTAGGCATAAGCAATTCAAAAAAGTAACATTTAGTGTAATGATGCATCCTTTTGGGACATGCTTTATGTAAAAAAAACACATGTATCGTTCCGGATGACCGCTGCAAGCATGATCATGAGTTTTGATTGTAGTGTGCTGATCTTTAAAGGTGTATTGAAAAATGTTGATACTGCTACTGATACTCCTGCTGTTATGGAGTGACGCATGCAGCCAGCGATGGCTGCAAAGTTTGGTCATACATGTTACGTATATCGTTTCTTGTTGAATTTGAATCACAGTTCCTATGATCACTTTTACATTGTTTTTAAAGCTTTATTTTGGTGATTTTAAAAACGTTTCGGTTTAGCCATGTTTGTAGTAGTACAGAGTTAGCCTGATAACTTTAATCTAAATTGTCTCATGGTTGTTATTGTTTGACTTGCATCCCACTGGGAATTTTGCACACAGCATTGAAACAGGGGTGGAGCCAGGGGGGTGACAGGGTAGACAATTGTCACCCCCGAAAAAAAATAGAAAATCTGAAACATTCTGCGTATAAGTGTACGACACTCAGTCTGGCGGACTCTGTGCAACTGCATTGTCAGTGTGTCGCCAACCAATGGCGTAGGGTATAGCCGATTTCTCATTCAATCATTCTTGAAATTAAAATTTGTTGAATGTCACCCCAGGCTGAAAATCCTGGCTCCGCCCCTGCGTTGAAATACGGTGTTTTTTCTGGAAGACTTTGCTATTTTTTCTTGGATTTTTCTGTTGCGTGTAGTCACTTTAAGATGTTTCTTGTTCATTCTAGATTTTAAGTTTTCGTGACTGGAGGGATCCATACTTTTTGGTTCTTTCGGTAAAGTCACGTAGGTATAAAATAAAATAAATCACGTTTCGGGTGCAACACAAGCGTCCGTCATCAGGTGTGACAACCAAAGCAAGAAACAATTGCTGAAGTGGGCCAAAGGGGTGCTTGTATCAAGAGGCGATATAGGTAAGAGAGGGGGGGCGGAGCCAGTGAGGAGAGACAGAGAGGGTGGAGGTGTGGGGTAGGGGGAATGGGGTGCTGAAAGAACGAGAATGCCGGGGATGGGCAGTAACTGGGGCTGGGAGTAGGAGAAAACAAGCACGGCAAAATGCCGGGGCTGGGAAGCGGGGCTGGGAGTAGGAGACTGAAAAAACTGGAGATGCGGATATGAAGGCAAACTATGAAGCAGTTAAGGTTTTACCTGGTTAATAACAACCTTCCAATGATTGCTCAATTTGTATCCATCTTCTCGGGTGAAGTTATGTCTGTGTTTATATATTTGGATGGCTTCATGAACAAACCTTTGATAGTAGCCGGAAGGTTTGCAGAGCACCTTGGTCTCGGAAAAAACAATGTCATGAGAGCCCACAGCGTTATAGCAATGGTCAGGTACGGCGGAGGTATTAGTCCTGCCGTGTTTCAGATCTGCCTTGTGCTCGCGAACATGGTCCGACACATGCCGTTTTGTTTCCCCAATGTAACAATCACCACCGGAGCAACTTAGTTTGTAGACTCCCGGATATTGCATGTCACGAATGACATCCTTCACAGATGGGATTAGATCATGGATTTTGTGTACTGTACTGAATCGGACCTGGATCTTGTGTTTGTTTAAGATTTTGGCAATCTCTTTGGTAATGTCTGCTATGTATGGTAACGTGATGGTTTTGATCGGCGTCTCAGGGGGTTGTTTCTCCATGGTTAGAGAAACAGCTTTGCGGATAATGCGGTCCGAATATCCATTCATCTTAAGGGCCTGGTGAATGGATATTCAGACCGCATTATCCGATTATAGTGGGGCCCCTATTTCACGCGACGCTCCTAATGACCGTGTGCGGAATATAACCAAGACCTCTGCCGGTATATTTCAAATGTATAGGGTTTACTTAGAATTCAATCTCTACACAAATCTTACATTGTCAAAGGGCAACAGGCTTACTACTTCCCCGGAGGAGTGCACGCATCACAAGCCACTATACCAACCCAAATGACCCTCACAACAAAACAACAACCAACACCGTCATACAACAACCAGACGACCACGGCTTCACCGACTTTCTCCACCACGAATGCTGGGAGGGAAAAACCTGCTGAGCAAAACCCCGAAGGCACGCCCAAAGCATCGCCCGGCTCAGAAAGAGAACACTATCAGTGAATCAGTCCCCTTTAAACTCGAGCAGAATCAGTCCCAGCCATCGAGCAGGATCAGTCCCAGCCACCTCGAGCAGGATCAGTCCCAGCCACCTGAAGCAGGATCAGTCCCAGCCACCTGAAGCAGGATCAGTCCCGGCCATCGAGCAGGATCAGTCCCAGCCACCTCGAGCAGGATCAGTCCCAGCCACCTCGAGCAGGATCAGTCCCAGCCACTTTTGAGCAGGATCAGTCCGGCCATTGAGCAGGATCAGTCCCAGCCACCTCGAGCAGGATCAGTCCGGCCATCGAGCAGGATCAGCAGACCAATTTGAGCTGGATCAGTAGTGGAATAAAATCCCACCCGCCTCAGTCTCCATCTCCAGCACAGCAGCCGCCGCAAACAAGGCGAGGAGCGGAATGAAATCCCCTGCCCCCTTCCCTTGGTTCCCCGCGGCAGGGCCTTTTATTCAATCACACCCTTGGACCCTTCCTTCATTTGATTAGCACAGCATGCCCACGAGTCAATCTAATCCCACACACCTGCAACCACTTTCACACAAAGCCACCCCTGCACGTCCCTCGCTTCTCCCCAATCAAAGAAACACCCTGCCCCCCAAAGCTATCACTCTGACTGCCACACTAAGTACCCAGGAACAAAAATTATGTTAGAGTGTAATCATTACTGGTGCTGGCATGAGCAGAAATCGAACACCTGCCGCCCCAACTACTCTGCTTTGTCCAAGAAGTCCACCCATACCTCCACCTTCACAACATGCTGGGGGTCGTTTCTCGCTCCGTGATAGTTTGGATTCTCCTCCTCCCGCTTCACGCAACCTCCATCCACCCGAAGGTCTGGTCCTGGAGTTGAATATTGAGATTCTTCCTTCAGTCCTTCTAATTTCACCTTCACTCCTTCATCGTCCACCTTCACTCCTTCACATTCCACCTTGACTTCTGGCCACGTTTCAAAGTCTGCATTCTCATCTGGTTCCCGTTTCACTGGAAACTGACTCATTGTAGAACTCTTTGTGGAACTTTGACTCTCATTTAGCAATGTCACTTTGTGCTTCCCCTGGATATGCTCAGGTCCGTTTCCGACTTCTGACCGTGCATTCGTTTGACTAGGCACGGTGCACTTAAAGTGCTTCTCGTCAGCATGTGTTCTCTGATGCTTGTGAAGATATGCCGACCGTGTAAAAGCCTTCCCGCACATGTTACACATGAAGGGTTTATCCCCTGTGTGTATTTTCTGATGTGCATCAAGATTTGATTTCCGTGAAAATGACTTTCCACACATGGTGCACTTGAAGGGTTTAACTCCTGTGTGCATCTTCCCATGTGCATCCAGATGTGCCGACTGCACAAACGCCTTCCCACACACGGTGCATTTGAAGGGCTTCTCGCCTGTGTGTATTTTCTTATGCTTGTGAAGATATGATGACCGTGTAAATGCCTTTCCACACACGATGCACTTGAAGGGCTTATCGCCAGTGTGTGTCTTCATATGCAAGTCAAGATTTAATGGCCATCCAAATGCCTTCCCACACACAGTGCACCTGAAGAGCTTCTCAGCAATGTGAATTTTGTGATGTCTGTTAAGAAGATAATTCTCTGCAAATCCTTTCCCGCAAACGGTGCACTTGAAGGGCTTATTGCCAGTGTGTATTGTATGATGTATGTCTAGAACTGATAACCGCGAAAATGACTTTCCACACACAGTGCACTTGAATAGATTCTCTCCTGTGTGTATTTTCCGATGCACATCAAGATTTGATTTCCGTGAAAATGACTTTCCACACATGGTGCACTTGAAGGCTTTTTCTCCTGTGTGTGCTCGCTTACTCTTTGGTTCTTTCGGTGCTCGCTTGTTACAATTAGAAGTTCCTGACCATGCAAAGGCTTTGCCAGGCACAGTGCACTTGAAGTGCTTCATCCCTGTGTGTGTTCTCTGATGCTTGTGAAGATACGACGACCGTGTATACGCCTTCCCGCACATGGTGCACTTGAAAGGTTTTTCGCCCGTGTGCGTCTTCCCATGTGTGTCAAGATGTGATGATTGTACAAACGCCTTTCCACACACGGTGCACTTGAAGGGCTTCTCGCCTGTGTGTATTTTCTGATGTCTGCTAAGAGTAGCTGACCGCGTAAATGCTTTCCCACACACGGTGCACCTGAATGGCTTATCGCCAGTATGCGTCTTCATATGCAAGTCAAGATTTGATGGCCATCCAAATGCCTTCCCACAAATAGTGCACCTGAAGAGCTTCTCGGCAATGTGGATTTTCTGATGCCTGTTAAGATGTGATGTCTCTGCAAATCCTTTTCCACAAACGGTGCACTTCAAGGGCTTATTGCCAGTGTGTGTTGTATAATGTACGTTAAGAATTGACAAACGGCTAAACGCCTTCCCGCACACGGTGCACTTGAACGGCTTCTCTCCTACGTGTATTCTCTGATGCACAAAAAGGTTTGACGACTGTGTAAAGGACTTTCCACACACATTGCATTTGAAGGGCTTCTCTCCCGTGTGCGTTTTCTGGTGTCTGCTAAGATTTGACAACTCTGAAAACACCTTCCCACACACAGTGCACCTGAAAGGCTTCTCTCCTGTGTGTGTCTTCTCATGTCTGCCGAGATGCGATGACTGTGTGAACGCTATCCCACAAACGGTGCACTTGAAGGGCTGCTCGTCCTTGTGTGTTTCCTGGTGATTCTTCATCACACCGATGTCATCCGTGCTGTATGTACACTTGCCGCATTGGTAACTCTTCGCAACTGGCTTTGCCGAGTGTCTCTTCTCCATCAATGGGATTGATTCTGCAGATAGTCACAAATTTCCAACAATATACATCAATATGCATACACATCATGTGCGAGCACACTCCGTACGCTCACAGACAATATAGGAATACATCACACACGAATACAGCTCGCTATCACACCTTACGCCACAGTGGCTAGAAGATGCTAACTACCTCACCTGGCATACAGGAGATTGTGGGTTCGATCCTGGCGCCAACACCTGTTGTATATTTGGAATTTACATGTTCTACCCATGGTTGTGTGGATTTTCCTCTGGGTCCTCCAGTTTTTCCCTCCATATTTAGAATCAACGTCACACGTTGAGAGTATTTAGTTGCTATACATTTCCACATGATGAGCCACGTGATTGAGCTACATTTTGTGGTCAGGTCGCTTCTGAATAAGATTTACATAGCTCAGTGGGCCTTAGCTGGTAAAGTAAAAACAAAAACCATAGCCCAATGCGGCGGGTCCGGTTACATTTCTGAATATTGCCGCAATCGGAAAATCTGCAACCCGTAAACTTGAAGGGAAATGGGAAATCTCTGCTTTGGTTCCTGGCTTGTCATACGTAAAACCTTCCTGCTTTGATTTTCCCTTACCCTGCACCGATCCAGACACGAAATGGGAAGTTTTTTAACGTAAAATATGATTAATATTTTATAGTGTGAAGTTGGCACATTAGGAGGTTGTTGTATATATAGGCCTTTTTCCAAGAATGAATATTAAAAATTAATTCTGCCAATTTTTTTATAATAATAATAAATAAAACACCGCCACCTCCCACAAGCACCAAGCAGCTGGAGGTCGTAAAAGGCCATTAAATAATAAACTCCGGGGCAAAGAGAGGTTAGCGACTATCTGCAAAATCTCCAGATTGCCAAAGGACCACATACCATGACCTGCTTGACACTTTTGACAGTTCACAAACATATCCAGAATCACAGGCACAGACACAGAGCACAGGGCAAACAGACATTATAACTGATTTTTTTGTTACGGAAAAAGTTGAGGCTTGGCTATAAGAATAAGTCGACATTATAGACTGCAGTATTCCTTATATTATTTCTTATTGTATCTTTCTATCTACATGACTTTACCAAGAGAACCAAAGTACATGAGTTCCTACAATCACAAAAACTTAAGTCCAAACTAAGCCTCGGGATATCTCTGACTTCGAGAATAAAAAGCACGGATCCCTGGATGCAGACAGGGAGCAAAAGTTAATAAAACCCTTGAAATACTGGAGGTAACATCTAATGGTACATTAGAAATCTTTGTTAAACATAAACCAAATAATAATCACAAGAGATAAGACTTGGGGTAATTCATTAGAGGTACAAGAAAATAGGTCAACCACACAAGACCAGATAATATGTATTCCATGAAATCAGAGCCTTCCCGGCCACCTTTGTCTTCCAACAATTTGACACAAACACATGGGAGCCATAAAATACGCATGAAGGAAGAGTGCCTCCCCTCCCTAATAGGAGAAACCATGAAGAGAGGGGTTGGGAATGCAAACAAACAAAATGTGATGGTAAAACAGTCAGTCAAAGGTAAAAAGGGGGGGGGGCAGCCAGGCCGCTGCTGCTGTGGCATCTGTTTTTTTTCCTCTCTCGCAAGAGACGCGGAGAGAGGAGAGAATTTCACATTTAAGCTCGGCAAGAGACAGCGAGACAGCAGCTCGGAAGAGGACAGCAAGCCAGCTCCGAGGCATGGCCTCGAGACATTAGCAATGGGTGCTGTGTCCCGCAGAGAAGAGGGGCGAGGTGATGTTAGGTGCTGAGTTCGGCATGGACCGACAGAGTATCGCTGAAAGTTTATTCTACATTCATCCTGATGTTTTGAATCGCTTGCAGAATCGAGGATTGCGATAAGCTGTATCGTATTAAGCTATCAGAGTTGTGTAAGAGGTGTGCAAATACAATTTTCTAGTTTTGAGAGTGAGTGATCCAGCTCGACAATTCAGCTCGACAATTCATCTCGACAAGGGACAGCTTGGCGATCGACAGAAGAGGGCGGAAAGCGGCAGGCTCCGGGGTGGGCCCCGCAATCAACCGAGGATGGCAAGGCCTATAGAGTAGCGATGTGTCACTGAGTGTGAGTTCAGAGCTGAAAGACGAAGTATCGCTAAAATAGTTTTAATCTACATCGAGTGCCAGCTCCCAGCAGCAGCTGCAGCCCGAGAGAAAGAGTGACGAGCGACGAAAGCAATCGTCCACCGCGGGAGAGCACGCAGCAGTAGAGAGTGCGCAACCAGCGCAACAAGCACAACCAGCGCAACCAAGCAAGGGTGCCAGCTGCCAACGGGCAATCGTTGTGCCGACTCGGCTCATCCAGCAGGGGAAAGAGCCTGACCAGCCGCCCGTGAGCAAGAGTGTCAGCGGACCAGCAGCAAGCGTGATCGAGCATCTTCAAGGACCAGCAACGTGCCGACGCAGCTCCTCCAGCAGTGGAAAGAGCCTGTATCTGCCAGCGGACGAGCAGCTAAGCCGACGCCCCGAGCAAAAAAAAGCAACAAAGCCATTTGTATGACCTTCCCCCACACCCACACCCTCACGACGCATTGCCCGGCATCTGCTTTACACAAAGAATTGAACAAGTGGCAAAGAAGACACAACACGCATATCGGGACAAATAAGATTGTTCCAAAAAGTATCTTTGTGTTTCAAGAAGGGTTGACATTCCAAGGTGGTGTATTAAATATCAACTGATCATGAAGAACATTGCTGCCCATTGAGTTATGTGGATACGGTCATTTAGAAGTATTTTAGTCGTTAGTTTTTTTTTAATTGCATAATCTTGCCGATGAATCTATTGACGTATACATTTGCCTTTGGGGTATAATATATTTTATTGCCTTTTGTTTAGAATATCGTTGCATGCCTGTGTTAAAGACTTTCCCTATCACCAACTAAGCTCGTGTTACACGGTGGAATTAATCATATGTGCGGTTGCCAAAGTGAAACAACGCACCCGTTGATGGTTAAATTTACTGCTCACTGAGGGAAATTCCCCGATGGTACCGGGGGTAATTCCAAGCATGAGAGTTTGCATATTAGGGTGTTAAGGTTTCGTTTAGAAATTAAAATTGCTTAACACAGAAGTGTTTTAGTGTTTCTTTCCTGAGTTCATGCATAATAATCTTAATTATAAGAACTGTATCCTGCATTGAGATTTGAATTTGGAGACCTGACATAAACACACTAATACATTTTTATTTAAAGCTTTCGTGACTGCAGTAATTCATATTATAAAATAATAAAATATATATAATAAAATATATTTTATTCTTTTATTGTTTCCCTTCAACGTGACTTTACCGAAAGAGCTAAATAATATACACTAATACATAATCAGTAAATGTTAAAGCGAGAATAATTGTATTATACCGATCGATAATACAAACCTAGACAGCGAAGCCGAGTTTAATCTGGCATACTTACAGCACACCTGCATAACTTCACACGATTAATTGTACGATCCCGATTGATAATAATACCCTCGACAACGAGGTCTAGCCTAATTATACTAACGGCTGGCATTAGCAGTACATTAACCACTGCACTAACGCTCCCGACACTACACACACGAGAATACTCACACAATGTGCATACTCATTACACACTAGAACACAAAGTACACCAACAGAAAATATCCTGTTCGTGCAAGTACTCATAGCCAGCATCTACTCATGCTGGCATGGCACACAGGGATGTAGCGTGGCCAGTACCACACCCGACTGTCAGTCTCTCCAAAAATGTTTACGAACTGCAAGAGGTAATTATTTAAGGCCAAGTCGACCCACGAGAGGTCCAGGACCGGCTCATATATTCACTGCCACCGATGTTGGCTGAGTGGAAATCAAACTCTGTCCACGGAGTTGGTCACAAAATGCGTTATACACTGAGCCACTGCTCCCCACATTCGCCTGTCGCATGCACGTGACAAAATGATACACAGTCTATAGACGATTTAAAGCTTTCGTGACTGCAGGGATTCATATTCTTGGTTCTTTCGGTAAACTCTACGTGACTTTACCGAAAGAACCAAGAATATATAGTCTATAGATGGCCAGAGACAACGGCGGTCGGGCGTGGTCTGGCCGCAGACCCCCTGATGCAGGGGTCACCACGATGTCAGTCCATCAGGCCAGCTGACGGTACTTGAATTTGGTTGATAGAACGTATGGAACACGAGACGTTGTGATACAATTTAAATATTATGTTTGGAATACTAGGAGATCTTCACACGTGCAGAGACCTCCTGACTGCTATGTGCCTTAAATTTACTATTTTAAATTTTAAATTATTGTATCTAGATTTTCTTGTTTATTGTAATGTTTGCTTATTTCGCGCCATCCCAAGTCCTTCCCCGGCTCGTGGTAGCTCCGCCTATGCTCTGACGTTACCATGGTTTCCATGGCAACACACACAAACACGCATCTTTCCCGCCCCCAGATTTTCCGGCTGTCAACACAGGTCCGACGCTCCAAAAATATTTACTTCTTTTTGCCTGTCATCCATTTTATAGGTATGTAACAAGGATTTCTTTGTTTGACAGTGATAGGTAAGTGAACTACAAGTGTGATTAGAGGTCATAAAGTAACAAACATAGAATAACAATGCCATAGAAGCCTTGTGTTATTACGAAAATATTATCCCCAGCTCAGAAAAATTCCCCGGTCAAGGTGTTAATCGAGCTGGTCTCTAGGCTATTTATTTAGGCCCGCCCTATTTATATATTTTGTAAACCTTATTATGTGATATATTCTATTACCAAAGGTACCTATAAACTTTATATGCACCTTTGGTGATCCGTAGCTTCACCAGTGACCCCTGAATCCTCTGCTTTTCTTGTGTTTCAATAGGAAACAATTCAATGTCTTTTTCATTTTCAGATCCCGTTTTCTTCACCCTTCATTATGGCTACTAAGAAAAGAAAAGTGGACGCCGAGTGTCGCGTTTTCAATGAAGAATGGGGAGTAAAGTACTTCTTTGTGGAAAGAAAGGACCAGAAAGCTAGTTGCGTAATATGCAGCGAAAGTGTTGCCATTTTGAAAGAGTACAATCTTCGGCGTCACTATGAAACAAAACATCTATCAACATATTCAAAGTTTTCTGGAAAGTTACGCTCTGAGAAATATGAGTCCATGAAACGTGGTTTAGAAACTCAAAGAAATCTCTTCACGAGAAAGTTTGCTGAAAATAAATCTTTCACTCGTACAAGTTACAAAATAGTGCATAAGATGGCAGAACGAGGAAAACCGTTTACTGATGGCAACTTCATCAAAGAGTCTATGGTGGAAGCAGCAAATGACTTGTCCTGAGAAAGCCGATTTGTTTGGAAGTATCAGCCTTTCGGCAAGTTCAGTTGTGCGGAGAACAGAATAACTTGGAGGGCACATAGTGCTACAGATACGCGAGAAAGCTAGGAACTTGTGGTATTCTCTGGCGCTGGATGAATCTACTGATCTCTCGAGTACGTCACAACTTCTCGTGTTCATTTGTGGTGTCAATTTGGACTTTCAGATAATGGAAGAGTTGGCATCCGTTTGCAGCATGCATGGAACAACAACTGGAAAAGACTTTTCATGGAAGTACAAAAAACTTTGCAAGACTATAACCTTCAGTGGAGTCAGCTTCGAGGTGTGACAGTTGATGGAGGAAAAAACATGGCTGGAGTGAGGAAGGGTCTGGTGGGGCAGATCAAGACTCAGTTGGGAGATTTGCAAATTCCAGGCGCTCTGTTCATACATTGCATCATACATCTGCAAGCACTCTGTGGGAAAGACTTAGATATTTCTTGTGTACTGAAATCAGTCTTTTCTGCTGTGAACTTCATTCGGGGACATACACTCAATCACCATCAGTTCCAGGCTTTTTTTGAAGAAATGGATTCTGATTTCTGTGACTTGCCTTATCACACAGCAGTGAGGTGGCTCAGCTGCGGTAAAGTCCTGTTTCGTTTTTACAAGCTCCGAAACGAAATAGATGTTTTTCTCACTGAAAAAAGATTCAGCTGATCCACAGCTGTCAGATCCTACCTGGCTGTCAAAGTTGCCATTTTTGGTTGACATCACATCCCACATGAATGAACTGAACTTGAAACTTCAGGGAAAGGATAACCTCGTCTGTGATCTCTACAGAATCATCAAAATTTTTTGGAGAAAGCTTTCATTGTTTGAAGCACAACTGGAAGGAGAAAGCTTCTCTCATTTTCACTGTTTCAAAGAGTTTTGCGCTACAATCGCTGAAGATGTCAACCTCGATTTTCTGAAAAAGATTCTTCGTGGATTGAAAAAGCATTTTTTGAAGAGATTTTCAGATCTTGACAGAATTGAGAGTGACATTCTTCTGTTCCAGAATCCGTTTGATTGTAACCTTGATGATGTGCCAGTTGAACTACAGTTGGAGCTCATTGATTTGCAAGCAAATTACTTGTTGAAAGAGAAGCACAGAGAAGGAAAACTTGTTGAATTTTACCGCTGCTTACCTGATGTTGAGTTTCCGAAACTGAAGAAATTTGCCGCTGGTATGGCATCAGTGTTTGGAACAACTTATGTCTGTGAGCAAAAATTTTCAAAAATGAAGTATGTGAAGTCAACACATCGAACGAGATTGACTGATGAACATTTGAAAGCAATTCTCTTGATTCGATGCAGCAATTCCAAACCAAACATTGATGATATCTTGAAAGCCAAACGTCAGTTTCACAAATCTCACTAACTTTATTTGCTGCTTAGTTTGTGAGATTCGGATATGTGCACACTAGGTCTGATGTAACTATCTTTTTGCTAACGTCGCCTTCTTTAATAACTTTTTAGTAAATAAATGTTGGTTGTCTTTGTTTTTTATGCATAGCACGCCACTCACCCATGATTAACATGGAATGCTAAACTTAGTTTTTCGTCTTTTTCCCCGAGCTTTCGTTCTGGCTTGCAAGTATTGAACAGAATGATTATGCGGCCCGCGCTCGTCATTCTTTCAGTTATCACTGTGAAAAAAGTTTGGTGACCCCTGCCCTGATGTATCATGCAATAGGGGGTTGCTAGCAGCACTTGCCCCAACAGTCTGTTAAGGCTATAGGGTGCATCTTTGTCTTTATCTTATGTGTGATGGAGTGGCGTTTGTATGTTCTACCCCCGTCTTGTGTGGGATTCGTCCAGGTTGTTTTTGTATCTTCTAATAGCTAAACCCACAAACAACGTAGCTGGTTTTGCCCACAACATGCCCTGATGAAATAATAACCGGAACATTACTCAATTGGATTAAATTCGGTAAAATCTTCCCTTACTGCAGAAAACTTGGCAGGAGCCTCTTGATAAAGTCTTGAATCTTTACAAGACTCTGCTCAGTAACGTAAAGCAGTAAGCCAGGCCGAAATAAATTACAAGCAAAGCAAGACAACAGCGGACAAGCTGTTGTCTGGCTGGGACCCACATTGTCACGTTTGAAAATTACCACCTCGACATCGATTCACAGTTACTACTCAATTGATATTCACACAAAATAAAGAAGCTAGGCTTTTTAGAGTAAACATACGTAAAGAAAATGTTTGTCAGGCAATGCATATTTTTTCCCCAAGAGTACGTGTGGTTAACGCAGACTTGATGCCTTGAAAAAAGTATCTATTTTGTGTTTGAACATTTTAATACCTGTTTTATTGCCATATAGAGTAAAACCTATTCTTATCGTTTCATCATTTTGATATTGGCAAAAAGGTCCCAAAGATAAAATTGCTCAACCCGTGCTATAAATGCTCTGAAACATGTGGCATTGTCTTTGTACTGTTCGCCTTTTGTCGTTCTCTGGCCTAACACTGGTGAGACTAGGCCATAAAGAAGGCTGTCTCTGGTGTAGGCCAATTAGTTACAAAGACAATGCATATATTTTGATTTAAAGCTTTCGTGACTGCAGGGATTCATATTCTTGGTTCTTTCGGTAAAGTCACGTAGAAGGGAAACAATAAAATAATAAAAACACAAGAAAATGTTCTTGTGTTTTCACACCTGATGATGATTGCTTGTGTTGCAGTCGAAACGTCGTGAGAATTTAATTGTTTGATATTTTTTACTATTCTATTGTTTCCCCTCTACGTGACTTTACCGAAAGAACCAATAATATAATGCATATATTACCAAAACATGTTTTGCCACAATTTGTGTGGTTAATGTTGATTTGATGCCTTACAAAAGGCATCTATTGTTTAAACATTTTAACACCTATATTCTTAGTTCTTTCGGTAAAGTCACGTTGAAGGGAATAATATCTATTTGTGACTTTACCGAAAGAACTAAGAATATGAATTACTGCAGTCACGAAAGCTTTAAATCAAAATTTTAACACCTGTTTTATTATCAGAAAGGGTAAAACCTATTCAGGTTGTATGATCTCACCCTGGTCTACAGCGTGAGAGTAGAGTTCGTATGATTTCCCCATTCTACAGAGTGAGAGGGTGATTGAGTGGAGTTTGTATATTTTCCAGCTGTTCTACAGACTGAGAATGATTGGAGTTTGTATGTTTTTCTACATAGCGAGTTTGTATGATCTCCCCCCATGTGCTGCAAAGTGAGTGAGTGGAGTTTATAAGTTCTCCCCGTTATAGAGTGGAGTTTGTATGATCTACCCATGTTCTGCATGGGGTTTATCCACGTTCTCTGCTTTCCTCCCAAAGTAAAAAAAACCCATACACAATAAAGGGAACTCTGCTGCATTACGATTCGTAGTGGACGCTCCGTATAGCAGGGCGCATCACTGTTACCTCCTCTATGGCATGCCTGGGCAAAGGTCATTGGACGTGAGAAGACATTTCCACTGCAGGGCCATTCTCAATGGCAAGGCTACGGTCCCCGTAGATAGGCTCTTTATTTGTCTGAACTCTTGTTACCGATGCATGGATAGGCCTGCATCTCTAGGCCTCACGTTAACATGTTATAACCCATACTTGCTGCTACTGAATTGATATCCTTACGAGCCAGACAGAGGAGCTAAGGCTGTACCTGATGAAACAACCATCAAAGACAAAGATCCCCGGTATAGCCTTAAGAGACTGTAAGGGCCAAGTGATGTTAGCGAGCACAACAACCATCACCACCACAACAACCAACACCACAACGATGTGAAATTATCTACCTCGGGTGAGAGCGGCAGCAGCAGAGATCCACGGAGTCGACTCCCTTACGCCACCGATCTAAATAAACTCAAACTCTACAAGAACTCTCCTCGCCAATACCAACAATCGCTGTTCGGCACAAAGGGACCGGCGGCACCACCACGCACGGACCGCCTGTACCTCACTCCGCGTGACGTCACCACTCCGCGTGACGTAATCGGAGGTGTACCCCACTAGTGACGGCATGTCACCCCCTCACCCCCGCCCGTCCACCGCGCGGCACCGTCACGTCTCCTTGGTCACTGCCAATTTCCGTTCAAGTAACATCCTTATTTGGACAAAGCGACGCCCAATCACTCCATATATATGGACTAAAACAATAACATAAATTTAGCTCTTCTGTACCTGATGATGGCTGCTTGTGTTGCAACCGAAACGTCGTACGCTATTATGTTATTTTATTATTTCTTTATACGTGACTTTAGTGGGGGTCGTGTCCCCGCAAGTGGCGTCATGTCATCTCCCCCCCGCGCGCTTCCGCGTGACGTCGCGAGATCCGAGTTGCTACCCGTTTTGCTGGCCACATGACGAGGTGGGAAGTCCACACCGTGGTGGTGCTGGTGGTGTTGTAGTGGTTGTGGTGTTGTAGTGGTTGTGGTGGTGTTGTAGTGGTTGTGGTGGTGTTGTAGTGGTTGTGGTGGTGGTGTTGTAGTGGTTGTGGTGTTGTAGTGGTTGTGGTGTTGTAGTGGTTGTGGTGGTGTTGTAGTGGTTGTGGTGGTGTTGTAGTGGTTGTGGTGGTGGTGTTGTAGTGGTTGTGGTGTTGTAGTGGTTGTGGTGTTGTAGTGGTTGTGGTGTTGTAGTGGTTGTGGTGGTGTTGTAGTGGTTGTGGTGGTGTTGTAGTGGTTGTGGTGTTGTAGTGGTTGTGGTGTTGTAGTGGTTGTGGTGGTGGTGTAGTGGTTGTGGTGGTGTTGTAGTGGTTGTGGTGGTGGTGTTGTAGTGGTTGTGGTGTTGTAGTGGTTGTGGTGTTGTAGTGGTTGTGGTGGTGTTGTAGTGGTTGTGGTGGTGTTGTAGTGGTTGTGGTGGTGGTGTTGTAGTGGTTGTGGTGTTGTAGTGGTTGTGGTGTTGTAGTGGTTGTGGTGGTGTTGTTGTAGTGGTTGTGGTGGTAATGTTGTAGTGGTTGTGGTGTTGTAGTGGTTGTGGTGTTGTAGTGGTTGTGGTGTTGTAGTGGTGGTGGTGTTGTAGTGGTTGTGGTGTTGTAGTGTTTGTGGTGTTGTAGTGGTTGTGGTGTTGTAGTGGTTGTGGTGGTAATGTTGTAGTGGTTGTGGTGTTGTAGTGGTTGTGGTGGTGTTGTAGTGGTGGTGGTTATTGATTTTTACCCAGGTACAGCCTGTCCAGGTTGGAACGTTACGTGGGGGCCGAGCCATGCAGGGCCTAGCCCCCCTTGCCCTCGCCTGATTGAAATAAGAGAATTAAGGCCAATACAATGTAATTTGTCTTCACCTCGCGTTCTGCCCAGTTGGTTTTGCGCGTATGATCCCAGTTAGGATATTTTCAAGGGCGAATTGGCCGGCACACATCAAAGCATTCCACAATGACACCCACTTGCTCATTCGCCCGCCCACTCACACATCGACTTTATCACCCACTCACCCACTTGTCCACCTGCTGAACCACTCGCCCACCCATTGACCCACATTGATCCGTATATTTAACCCTCAATGATTACGTTTGTTAAACTGGGTAACAGAACAATTGGCTCCTTCCTCAGTAAGGTGAGCATATACGGCGATAGGAAAAAAGTCCTTAAAAATGTATGACTATTCATATGAACGGTAAAAAAGAAACATGTCCCGCAAGAAAAAGTAGACCTCAATGAATTCATTTTGTAGGATTATGCAATAAACGAAATGTCTTGGAACAATAGTGTGCGGAAGTGTGCCTGCTTGTCTAGTAAATGCTTATCAATTGGCTAAGGCTTCAATAAATTCGCGGGCAAGATTATGTGATTAAAATAAAGATTTTAACACAATAGTCTCCCAGTGAGTGTGTAGATGCGCAACATAGATGTTTCTAAATGTTTAGTTTAATCAATGAATTCATTGGTAAAGATTATGCAATTAACACGAATTACTAAAATACTTCTAAACGACCGTATCTTCGTAACTCATTGGGCAGCAATGCTTTCCACAATCAGGCACGATCTGTACCCCCTATCCTCTTGCCCGAATAGGCAAACTCCCCCCCCCCCTCAACTCCCCGCCCCCCCCTCTCGGCTCGATATATACAGTGAGGGAAATAAGTATTTGATCCCCTGCTGATTTTGTACGTTTGCCCACTGACAAAGAAATGATCAGTCTACAATTTGAATGGTAGGTTTATTTGAACAGTTAGAGACAGAATAACAACAAAAAAATCCAGAATAACGCATGTCAAAAATGTTATACATTGATTTGCATTTTAATGAGGGAGATAAGTATTTGACCCCCTCTCAATCAGAAAGATTTCTGGCTCCCAGGTGTCTTTTATACAGGTAACGGGCTGAGATTAGGAGCACACTCTTAAAGGGAGTGCTCCTAATCTCAGCTTGTTACCTGTATAAAAGACACCTGTCCACAGAAGCAATCAATCAGATTTCAAACTCTCCACCATGGCCAAGACTAAAGAGCTCTCCAAGGATGTCAGGGACAAGATTGTAGACCTACACAAGGCTGGAATGGGCTACAAGACCATTGCCAAGCAGTTTGGTGAGAAGGTGACAACAGTTGGTGCGATTATTCGCAAATGGAAGAAACACAAGAACAGTCAATCTCCATCGGCCTGGGGCTCCATGCAAGATCTCACCTCGTGGAGTTGCAATGATCATGAGAACGGTGAGGAATCAGCCCAGAACTACACGGGAGGATCTTGTCAATGATCTCAAGGCAGCTGGGACCATAGTCACCAAGAAAACAATTGGTAACACACTACGCCGTGAAGGACTGAAATCCTGCAGCGCCCGCAAGGTCCCCCTGCTCAAGAAAGCACATGTACATGCCCGTCTGAAGTTTGCCAATGAACATCTGAATGATTCAGAGGACAACTGGGTGAAAGTGTTGTGGTCAGATGAGACCAAAATGGAGCTCTTTGGCATCAACTCAACTCGCCGTGTTTGGAGGAGGAGGAATGCTGCCTATGACCCCAAGAACACCATCCCCACCGACAAACATGGAGGTGGAAACATTATGCTTTGGGGGTATTTTGCTGCTAAGGGGACAGGACAACTTCACCGCATCAAAGGGACGATGGACGGGGCCATGTACCATCAAATCTTGGGTGAGAACCTCCTTCCCTCAGCCAGGGCATTGAAAATGGGTCGTGGATGGGTGTTCCAGCATGACAATGACCCAAACACAGCCAAGGCAACAAAGGAGTGGCTCAAGAAGAAGCACATTAAGGTCCTGGAGTGGCCTAGCCAGTCTCCAGACCTTAATCCCATAGATAAATTGTGGAGGGAGCTGAAGATTCGAGTTGCCAAACGTCAGCCTCGAAACATTAATGACTTGGAGAAGATCTGCAAAGAGGAGTGGGACAAAATCTCTCCTGAGATGTGTGCAAACCTGGTGGCCAACTACAAAAAACGTCTGAGCTCTGTGACTGCCAACAAGGGTTTTGCCACCAAGTACTAAGTCATGTTTTGCAGAGGGGTCAAATACTTATTTCCCTCGTTAAAATGCAAATCAATTCATAACATTTTTGACATGCGTTTTTCTGGATGTTTTTGTTGTTATTCTGTCTCTCACTGTTCAAATAAACCTACCATTAAAATTATAGACTGATCATTTCTTTGTCAGTGGGCAAACGTACAAAATCAGCAGGGGATCATATACTTTTTTCCCTCACTGTAACGACTTGTTACAGCAGCCTGTTTCTCTCTCCCACCTGAAGACGATTGCTTGTGTGGCGATCGAAACGTCGTTATCTATTATTTTTCTACCTACATGACTTTACCGAAAGAACCAAAGAGTATGAAATGTGCTGTTTATTATGGAATTTGACGTGCTGAATTCAAATATGACAATTAAAACAACTGATTGGCGACTGTTCCCAAGATATTTAAGTTTTTTTTTTACATTTTACATCTATGTATATTGTGTAGATCATAGAGTTTTAGTCATGAATTGTAAATATAGGTCTTTTCATGTGTTTATGGTTGCTTTACATGATAACATATCACCTGTCCTGTTCATGTAACACTTTAAAAATCAGCAAAAGGGTTATATAAATAACATTTATTATGAAACGAAAGGCAAAAATAACTATTATGTATATATAAATACATAGTTAAGTCCTTATTCAGTGTCTACTCGGCGCTTCTTGGCTTGTCTCTTGGATTCATTAAATGGAACATCTCTTGTCACTGTCCAGCAATAGTCTGCAAGCATTGATGGGCTCCATTTGCCCTGATAGCGTTTCTCTATTGTTGCAATGTCCTGGTGAAATCACTCGCCATGCTCGTCGTTCAGTGCTCCGCAGTTCGGTGGAAAAAAATCTAGATGAGAGTGCAAAAAATATATCTTTAGTGACATGTTGCAACCAAGTCTTTTGTATGTCTTGAGGGTTTCCACCAACTCCCTGTAGTTGTCTTCCTTGTTGTTTCCAAGAAAATGTATTGCCACTAACTGGAAGGCTTTCCATGCCACGCAGTGCACTGTCAAGTGCATCATCTCGAAGAAGTTCACGAATCTGAGGACCAACAAAGACCACCTTCCTTTAATTTAGCTTCACTTAACCTTGGGAAAATTCCACGGAGGTCATTGAAAGCTGCTTGTGTTTTGTCCATGGCTTTGACAAAGTTCTTCATCAGACCCAGCTTGATGTGTAAGGGTGGTAACAAAATATTCCTTGATTCAACAAGTGGTGGATGCTGAACACTTTTTCTCCCATGCTCCAATGACTGTCGGAGTGGCCAATCTATCTTGATGTAGTGGGAATCTCTCATACTTTGTGTATCTAGTCTGCAGACTCAGCAAAAAAGAGCAACAACCTTAAAATCGCCACAAAGCTGCCACTGATGTTGGTCATAGTTTATGCACCTCAAAAGTTGTTTCATATTGTCATAGGTTTCCTTCATATGGACTGCATGATCAACTGGAATTGATGGCAAAACATTGCCATTATGCAACTTTAAGACTCATCCTCGATTAATCAATGGACAGTCTCCACTCATCTGGATCATGAACGATGTTGAGGGCTGCCATCACACCATCGATGTTGTTGCAGGCTACAAGATTACCTTCCATGAAGAAGAATGGGACAATATCCTTTTGATGGCTAAGGAACATGGAAACTCTAACATCACCTGCCAGGAGATTCCACTGCTGCAGTCTGCAGCCCAACAGCGCTGCCTTACTCTTGGGTAGTTAACATTTTTGACAAGGTCTTTCAGTTCACTTTGTGTTATGAGGTGTGGTTCAGAGGAGGAGGATGGAAGAAAATCTGGATCATGTGACCTTGATGGTTCAGGACCAGAAGATCCATCCTCTTCCTTGTCTGACTCAAGTGAGAATGATTCTGGTGCATCAGGAACCAGCAGTCCTTCTCCGTGGCGTACTGGACGTATAGCTGATGGAATGTTTGGAAAATGCACAGTCCACTTTTTTGTCTTTGACACCTTCCCCAACTGGAGGCACCATGCAGAAGTAACAATTGCTTATATGACCTGTTGGCATATATTTATTTTTCCTGTTCAACAACTGGCGAAGATTTGTTGCACAAGTGTAGTGACATATATTGGGTCACTACGGCGCTCATCGCCAGTTACTGATAAAGAGAACTGGAGTGTAGATAGCCCTCTGTGGCAGCAGGGTGTGCTATGGCACCAAAGAGGGTCCCTGAGGGGCATAGCTCTGGTGGCTGGCGGGAAGAGGGCATGTAAGGATGTAGCAGCCTGATTGGCTGGCGTGGACATGTGACCGGACAGCAAGGATGTGGACCAAGGGTGAGGTAATGGGACATGTGGTATAGAGCCCGCGGTCTTCTGGTAAGTGCCAGAAGGGAGGCGTGGTCAAGGTGGAGCGAGGCCATGCTGGGGGGCATAAAAGCTGGGTCCCGGGGTCCGATCGGGGTTGTCTTCTGGAATGGAACCCGCTGTGCTATGTTGCTTTGGTCTTCGCGCTCCGCATCGTGGGTCAGGCAGTGTGTTAACTTACCTGACCCGGTTATATAGTTGCCCCGTGGTGGTTACCACTATATCATATCCCGTTATGTGGTTATGTAGTTACCCCGTGGTGGTTGCCACCTATATAGTTATCCCGTATACGTTTATATAGTTACCCCGTTGTGGTCAGGAAATAAATGTGTTGCCTCCGAAGTCAAGTGTGTCTCTCAAGTGAACCCACTACACAAGTGTTGCAGCATATGTGTGGGACCCACATCTTTTCCTGATCTCCAATTTAGCAGCCAAAATAAAGGTGATAGGCTTTCTTAACCATAGTGGTTATACTGTGCTTTTGTGATGCAAAAGTCACTTCACCACAACCATAGCAGAAGTTATCTGCTTTGTTCACACAATTACGAGGCATCTCCGCTCACTTTGGCTAAACAGAAATGTGTCCCTTGGCAAAATCAAACATTGACAAATAATAGAACACGACACTGATTTCTAGAGCTGATATAGGGCAATTTGTTCAGCAGAGGGATGTCAGCCTAGTTATGATTACATCATCCATGACTTCTAGGAATAACATGATGCAATTCGTATAATGTATGACGCAATACCAGGTTCAGATTGCATCAATCATTGTTTTGCTCAAAAAGCGAGTACTGTCCAAACCCAGTCATAGATTTACTCATAGATCCGGTCAAAGATGTATTTTAGTAATTTCTGGCTTGAATTGAGATCCCTTTCCTTTATAAGTCACTTATCCTCTGCCATTCCCAAGTTAAGGGTCGTATATACTGACAGTAGCATATCTTGAAAACTAGAGCCAATCAACAATTTTAAGCGTAATTTTCATTCTCAGTGATTCAGAATTAGTAAAATTGGACTACATTTATTTCAGAAGCATTTTGACTGTAGACCAGTGTAATAAATGATCTACTGTAATTCAATGTTGGCAATATGCCTTTTAATAACTTAAGAGCTATAATTTGATGAACACTTATATGATTTTGAACATATACAACAAAAACTCCATTATCTGACATCCATGGGGTATGGATGTCTATTAATGAAATATGCCGGTTATCTGGTTCACCTAAATTTCCAAGTATATTAGACTTTTAAAGAAGGAAATAACACGTAAATTTGAAATAATATACTATTTTTTGATTTAAAGCTTTCGTGACTGCAGTAATTCATATTCTTAGTTTTTTCGGTAAAGTCACGTTGAAGAGAAACAACAAAATAACAAAATATATATAATATACTATGTTACAGAGGTACTCACCAATCAGTTGTACAGCATTCTACGTTGATTGTAGAGAAGTGTGGTGCCATGGCCTCGAAGCCACTCTGCAGGCGCCGTGACCCCCCCCACCCCCATACTGAATACACAGACATCGCACACGTAGCGTCCTGACGTTAGATCGCCTAGCAGTCGGGTTATAATCCGAGGATTCCTCTGAGGAATGTCCAACGGTTTCCATATGCCAGATTGGCTCGACCCAGCAGGACAATGTAAACCCTCCCAGGTTAGCTGCGATGAATTAAGGGGCCGTCCATAAATGACATCACGCGATTTTGGACGATTTTTGACCCCCCCCCCCCCCTTCGTCACACGGCGTCACAAAAAGTCAGACCCCCCCTCAAATATGACGTCACAAAGCTCTGCCCCCCCCCTCCCCCCAAATAAAATATGCTTCAAATCGCTTTAAACTATTGTCATTGTAGTGCGTAGTTAATGTGGCGCTGCACTCTAATATTGTAGGAGAAACATTTATTAAAAAGTATATTTAATTAAGTAGAACGTGTCTATATTTATTTAAAGTTGCGCATTTTGATGTGATGTCACATTTCTCAAACCACCCCCTCGTCACACATCGTCACAATTGTCTGACCCCCCTAGGTGCATGCCGTCATTTATGAACGGCCCCTAACATTCGGCTGGGTAAAGAGGACGTGGCAAGGAGGCAGGGACTAGTGATGTCAGAGGGAGGGGCGACTTAAGCCCCTGGGGAGCGTGCAATTGGCCACGTGTGATCATGTGACCCGGGCTTCGGAGTAGAATATAGGGAGTGCCCTAGGGGCGGTAAAAGTTCAAGTTCTCCTCTAGCGCGCCGGGGAGAAGTCGCGAGCCCTCGTCTCTTTTCGACTAACAGTGTCCGTGAGATGCCAACAGTTGCAGTTACGAGGTACGTAAAGAGCGCTGGGTTGGTTGATTCGGTCGGCAGAGTTAGAGCATAGCCCTGCCGCTTTACACTGCCGAGTCACACAAGTGAGATTACTGTTGTTTTTATAGGCCTGTGTTTATCTTTAAATACAAGTTGCCACGGATTGTATGTGGCGTGGTGTTTGCGATTTCCGTGTGGAGCGACGGCGTGGTGTTTGCGATTACCATGTGGAGCGACCGCGTGTATGTGCTGAGTCCTTTGTGGCGGTGAGTGACCACGCAGTGAGTGTGAACGCGTGGTCGTGATTGCGAGGTAGCTACCACGTAAAGGTACTCATTCATTGCGTGGTTGGTTGAGCGCCGGGCAGACATTATGCATCGGTGGCCATTTAGCATCGGTATGAGTGACGCGCTTGGCTACCATTTTGAATCAGTTGCGGCGGGTGCGTGGATAGTCGTTGCGCAGGCGGCAGCGCGTTTTGCTGAATTATGCTAGCGGCAGCTGCTGTGTCCACGGGCATGTGTTTTAACTCCGCGTGGCCCCGGCCAGCAATACAGAATGTCCCTTAGGGACGACGCTAACAAAGGGGGCCCAGTTAATTCTAGATTTGAAGCTTTCGTGACTGCAAGAATCCATACTCTTTGGTTCTATTCGGTAAAGTCACGGTAAAGTCACCTACGTGACTTTAGCGAATAGAACCAAAGAGTATGGGGCCCAGTTACTCGGTCAGTGGGTGCCAGGAAAGAGCAGTCCAACGCGGTGGAGGTGGGAGAGGAACGGGCGGACGTTGCCTGTGATCGATTCTTGGGTTGAACATGATTGGATTGCACTGATAGAAACTCAGATCCTTGAAAAATCTGGACACAATCCCCGTCAAGGTTTCTGTGGTTGGATCACGTAGTCCGCATGCCCAACCACCACATTCCCAAGCAGCTTCTGTTTGATAGAGGGGGCTAAACGGGCATGGCACAGGTTCGAGAAGAGGTGGGCTGTTACGGAGGATGTGGAGCCGAGTGAACTTGTTGATGACTGGTACCAGAGGTGTAAAGATTGGTTTCTATGGAGGAGGCTCATAAAGGACACCCATTGGCAACAGTGGAGGGCGGAGAAGCAATGCTCACAACAGAGATCCGGGTGGATAAAACGCAGTGAGGTGGCATAGTTGGGGCACAGGTGGTGCATCTGCCAGTCACCTCAGTCAACCGATGGCACCTGGGTCTGTTCTGTGATCTGCCGGCGGGCCTTGGACAATTCATGCAGCCTTAAAGTGCACCTAGCATGGCACATAAACTGTGGAGAAATCCCATGTGTAGTTGGCCCACCTTGTTCCTCCTGTAAATCGTAACAAGGGGACAGGTCGGCTAACTAGACAACAAGAGGGTGGCAGACTTCCGCTTCCTGAGAGTCCACATTGGGGAGGGCCTGACCTGGAGCGCCAACACCTCTGAGTTACTGAAAAAGGCCCAGCAGAGACTTTACTTCCTGAGAATACTCAGGAAGAATAACATCACACAGAAACTGCTGGTGTCCTTCGACCAAGCTTCCATCGAGAGCATTCTTACATACTGCATCTGTGTATGGTACACCAGCTGCACAGTGGCTCAGAGGAAAGCGCTGCAGAGGGTCATCAACACGGCCCACAAAATCGCCAGGTGCTCTCTCCCCACATTGGAAGAACTACACAATTCCCGTTGCATCGAAAAAGCGAAGACCATTATAAAGGACTCTTCTCACCCTGGACACTCTGTTTGAGCTGTTGCCATCAGGCAGACGATTCAGATCGGTCAAAACAAGGACAAACAGATTCAAGCACAGCTTTTATCCTACAGCAATTACCACACTCAAGACTGCTAATTAATTATTAAGTAATACTGTATACAATTGACTGTAAAATAAGGATGTGCAATGATAAAATATACTTTTATGTGGGTATGTGGGTATACTTGGGTAGTTTTTATATATAAAATGTATTATCTTTAATTTAATTTTTATTGTTTTATTTATTTAAATTTATGAATGATGTACTGACTGGTGAGCACTTAAAATTTCGTTGTACTGTGACAATGACAATAAAGGATCTATCTATCTATAACAGAGCTTGGAAAAGATGAGTAGATACTCTGCATTGTGTTCTGTCCTCCGGAGAAGTGGGTGATTCCACAAAAGATGTGCGCCAGGGGTTTGTGAAATGGCAGCACTTTATTTCAAAGTGTTCTTCCGAGGAGCATTTGCGTATCTGAAATCATGACCAGACACCCCTATCACCCTCCGCGTCACACCTCAGCTCAGTCCCTCAGCATAGAATCCACACCAAATCTAAATAATATCAACCGCTTATATCTAAAAACATGGAAACATTATTTAACATCAAACATCTGCCCAAAAGATCTGTCGTGCCTCCTAAATGGTCTACAGTCCATAATTATACTGCTTTAACGAAACAATATGTAGTCGTATAATTAATAATACAGCATCCTTCGCCCCCCCCCAATTGTTAATATGTAAATTAGGGATATTTTACTGACAATAGACATAAAACCATTTTTATTTCTTATATTCGAATCAAGGGTGGCCTTTTTTTAATTAACAGCACAATGCAATACAGTAACACTAAAGCTATTTATATTTTCATTACCAAAACATTCTAAGCATATTTCAACTTCGTTACATCTATTGATATAACGGAGTTGGAATATTGCGGGCACTGTACTGTTCCATCGAAGTGAAGCAGGAGCTGAGTTCTAAAACCAAGCTCTCAGTTTCCAGGTCGATCTACATTCCCACCCTCACCTATGGTCATGAGCTTTTGGTAATGACTGAAAGGATGAGATCGCGGGTACAAAGGCCTAAAATGAAGTTTCTCCGCAGGGTTGCCTGGCTCACTCTCCGTGATCGGGTGAGGAGCTCGGTAATCCGAGCCAGAGTCGAGCCGCTGCTCCTTCAGATGGTGGTTTGGGCACCTGGTATGGTACTCTACTAGGCACGTCCCACTGAGTGAAGACCCCGGGGCCGGCTCAAGACACGCTGGTGGGATGACGTGACTCATCTGGCCTGGGAATGCCTGAGAATTCCCCAGGAAGAGTTAGTTTATCGCCAGGGAAAAGGACGCCTGGAGCGCCCTACTCAACATGCTGCCGCTGCCACCCTCACTAGAAGCAGATTGAGAAACAAACGATCATCTTATAAAATTTCCCATGTCAAGCTAACACAATATAACTAAAAATAACTGAACATCTCATACCTACATTCATGACCAGACACACTATTGCCCTCCACGTCACACATGTCAGCTGAGTCCCTGTGTTGATAGGATTGAGCACTGGAGTTATTTTTCTTAGAAGCAATGCAAATAACTTTTTTTATATTTTGAAATCAACCTTAAATATCCCCAACAAGTCAATTACCATTCAAGCAAGATTAATTGAACAGTTATTTGATATTTTATTGGAGTTGTATCTCACCAGCATGGAGTCCACCCAAAATATGAATTGGGGGTGTGTCCTGTACTCTGAATAATCGACACACTGCGGGGCGTGGCAGGCTGTGCTCGTGGGGCCTGGGGTCCTATCTCTGATTATTTCCTGTACTTATAATAAAAAAAGCGCACCTGGCTCTCTGTTGCACTTACAGCAACATGTAGCAGTGCACAATTATAATTTCGATTCATAACAGTTAAGCTCACACTCGGCTACAGCAAGTGCTTTGCGCACAATACACTTCACTGCATGTGTCATGCAGCATCAAGATGCAGAACCCAACTCATTGGGCGCCTCGGGACTGCAACTCGCCACCAAGTGCCCACAATGTAGAGTGCGTGCTCTTCATCTCGGGATAAGCCCACAGCGGCTTCTTACACTCTGCACTATACATATACACATTTCACCACACATCACTATCTACCATACTATTGTAGTGTCTTCAAAAATTAATCACACCGACACGTAACACTTTAGTCACCTATTCTTGCACCAGTTGTAGGCACTCCTATATCTATACGGTCACTTATGTTTAACTTCTCCCCACTCTTATCTACCTTGCACCTCACTTATCCTGCACTCTGCAGCTCTGCTCTCAACGACTCCGCACACAGCGGCTCCGCACGCAGCGAATCTACATCTCCACCGCTGCCCCAACCTATGCTCCCTCAGACCCACTCACCTGTCTGCCAACACCCGCCCAGTGACGGCGTGAGGGTTGAGGTACCGTTTACAGCTGGAGTGGCAGCGGCGAGATGTCTTCACGCTTGGCCCACGCCCTGATATCCCCCTGCTAATTTCCCCAGTTCTCTTGTGCGTCTCTTTGAGCTGGCGCCTGTTGGCCCATCAATTAACCCTTGTCTCCCTGGTAACACCTCTGCTCTCAATATGCACAACCGGTCGACCACGTTAACACCTGCTTCGCCCCTTACTACTGGCGGTTTTGTCCGTGCAAACCTCACGCGCACCTGTTTGCCCTCGGTTAACTGTGCGCACCGCGTATTTCACTGCTCTCCACTATTATTTACTATGTGCTGCACGCTTTACACTGCACTATTACCATAACTAGACTGTGCATGGTGTGTGTGCATTGCCAGCAGGTGGTGTACAATAGGTTTCCACAGACCCCTACTGTTACCATCGTAAAAAATGTAAATTTATGTCAGGCTAAGACCATTAAAATGAAACTCAAATTGATTCAAATTAAAACAAGTGCAGCAGGTAGCCCTGAAATTAAATGTTTTTATATTATGAATGTACATTTTTGTAAGTGTAAAAAGCCTGATTTTAATATTATGAAATTGCTTAACTTTTTTGTTATTAAAGTGCATTTAAAAAGCAATTACAAAAACAGATTGGAAGCATACAAAAATCACGGCCATACCTGGCAGTAATTTTAATAGCAATGTCCAACAGTTAAATGTATACTTAATAATTTCATACATATCAAAATATGCACCTAAATTATGTTTTTAATAGGCAGTATGCATTCCATATCGACTAATTCACTTCTGCAATGAATTACTTCATAAGTACAGAAAGCACATCTCCGATTGGATAACACCTACACCTGTATGCCTTCTAGAAATTTCAGAAGCCTATGAATAAAGCGAATGCTATGGAACATCATTCTCAAACTCTAGGTTACACATCTTCCCAGGATGCAATTTCACACATGCTGGCTGTGGCAGTTAGTGATAGCTTTGGGGGCAGGGTGTCTCGATTGAGGAGCGAGGGACGCGCGGGGGGGGCTTTGTGCGAAAGCGGTTGCAGGTGTGTGGGGTATTAGATCAGCTCGGGAGCACAAGGGTTTGGACTCATGAGCTCGCCGTGCTAATCAATTTGGAAAAAAAAAACCAAGGGTGCAACTCAATAAAGGGTACGCTGCGGAGACTGTAGAGGCGGATATTCCATTCCGTTCTTTTTCCTGCTCAATGCGGCTGCCGTGCTGGAGACGTGAGACTATGTCGACCACAGGGGAAACTCCTCCTCCCCAGCCGTGCTGGTAGGTCAGCACCGCAACCATCGCCTTGGAGTCCAGCCTGGGTGTGATAACCACTTGCTGGCTGGTGGGCGCGATCGACTGGGGTTCTGCAGTGGACGGTTGGTCCATTCACCAGTGGGTCGTCTCCGCTACAATTGTTTTTGGAGCCAGGGGTGGGGAATCACGGGGAACCACCCGCTGCTGCCGTGAAGGGAACGCTTGGTGAGGACTGCGGGGTGTTGACAGCTGGGACATATGTCGGGAGGAAGGGAGGTGATCCTCTGAGGTGGTACTTGGAACGTTTTGTTTAGTCCGTTCCAGAGCCCGGTGATACTTGGTGCGTGCCTTTTGGGGATTGCTCGTGGTGGAGGAAATCCGTGAAGCCGTGGGCGTCGGGTTGTTGTGCTGTTGTGAAGGCCATTTGGGTTGGTATAATTGCTCGTGATGTGTGCAGTCCCCCATAGAATTAGCAGGCCTGTTACCATTTGACAATTTAAAGCTTATATCAAATTTAAATTCTAAGTAAACACTATCAATCTGGAATATACCGGCAGTGGTCTTTGTTATATTCCCCACACGGTCATTTGGGGAGTCGCGTGAAACAGGGGCCCCACTAATCTAAACCACGGCGATGCTAGCTAGGGTTTTGGGTATAGACCGAAACTCTCTAAAGCATGTCCCAAAAGGATGCACCGTTGTACTGGCCCCTCCTCAGCTATGTCCAAAAAGTTTACGCACACCTCCACAAACTCCTGGGGATCATAATTCTCCTGCTTCACGCTGCCTCCATCCACTTGTAGGTCGGTTCCTGGAGTCGAATCTTGATCTTCAAATTTCACCGTCACTCCTGGCCATGTTGCCAAGATGTAATTTCTACTGGTTCTTGTTTCATAAGAGATGGGCTCATTGCAGCACTTCACCTTCTCCACTGTGTATACTCTGTGTGTGTGTTGCGCAGCACGCTAACCGCTCCAGGACCGCTCCCCCAAAAACTCTACCCACACCTCCACATCCACAAACTCCTGGGAGTCGCCTCGCTCTCCCTCAAAATAATCCTGCTTCTCCTGCTTCACGCTGTCTTTATCCATCTGGAGGCCGGGTTCTGGAGTAAAATATTCATCTTTACATTCCACCTTCACTGCTGATGATGTTGCCAAGCTGGGGTTGTCTTCTCGTTCTTGTTCCATGCGAGATGGGATCAGTACAGCACTTTGACTTTTACTTCTCGATTCCACCTCCGTCTCCTTGTGGGTCTTCTCATGCTTCTTTCGGGCTTCTAATCGCGCAAACCCCTTACCACATACAGTGCACTTGAAGGGCTTCTCACCTGTGTGTCTTCTCTGATGAAAAGGAAGATTTCTTGAATTAGCATATGCCTTCTTGCACACAGTGCACTTGAAGGGCTTCTCACCCGTGTGTGTTCTCTGATGGATATGAAGAGCATGTGAACGAGAAAATGCCTTCTCACACACAGTGCACTTGAAGGGCTTCTCACCCGTGTGTGTTCTATAATGTTTCTTAAGAGTTCCTGACTCTGCAAACGTCTTCCCACACAGAGTGCACTTGAAGGGCTTCTCGCCCGTGTGTGTTCTCTGGTGCTGCTGCAAATGTCCACGGCGATCCGTGCTGTATTGACACTTGTCGCATTGGTGCCTTTTAGCACTGGGCTGTGTCGAGCGTCTTTTCTCCATGCGATCGATTCTGCAGATACACATACACGTGACACATAATATACACACACACATTACAGAGACAAAGATCCCCTCCTCCCCTGTATAGCCATAAAAGACTGTTGGAGCAATTGCTATTAGCGAGGACCTATGAAGGCTTGCACGGGGCACGAGAGAGTGGGTGGTCAGCATCACGCCCGGGTGCCTTTGTCATCCAAGTGGCTGTGTTTACACAGAACACCAAGTACTTATTTTACGCTGAATCGACCGAGGAAAGGCCCAGGAATGGTTCAGATGTTGGCCGTGATCTGGAATTGAACTTGGGTATCTGGGTTTGTAGTGAAGCACACTAACCACTGCACTACTGCTCCCAACATTACACACATAGTACACTCACACACAATATACGTACTCATTACACGCTCGAACAAAGTACATGGACATAAAATATCCTTCAAATCAAGATAAAATATCCTCTTCTTGGTTCTTTCGGTAAAGTCACGTAGAAGGGAAATAATGAAATAATAAACTAAAATTCTCACGACGTTTCTGCCACAACACAAGCAGCCGTCCTCTGGTGAAGAAACAGAGCTGTAGGAAAGACAGCGCTCCAATGAACACTGCTGAGCTTGGCAGCGTATTTTAAGCTGGGTGGGAGGAGCAGAGCGCCTTGACAAAGGAGTTTACATATCAACAGAATAATTTCATTGAAGTAGCTATGTTAATGTGAGAGATTAGCAGGGTGTTAAAGTCAGAAATTAGCATGTAACTGGGAGATTAGCATGATGTTAATGTGAGGAATTAGCATGTAACTGGTCACGGAAGTAGCTATGTTAAATTCAGAGTTTACATATCAACAGAGGCATTTAGTATATTGACGCTAAAGAACTGCAACTACCCAACTATCATTAAATAAACCGATGTGAAAGAACTAAATATAAACTACATCAATATAATCAATGTACCTCAATATATGCTCCACTAAGCTGAGCTAACATTAAGTCATACATTACACTTCTATGTCGCAAAAAATATTATAATATGCCTCCAACTAATCTTTTTATTATAAACTGCCATAGACAGACCCCAACATTGATTTATACACTGCGTTACTATACACTACCCTATACCTTAGATTATAATATTAGACTTGTAATATTACACTGCATTATTTGACCAACCCTACTGTATACCACACTGCTGTATATTCACTATACAATTACGATACTATATATTACCTTATAAATTATATTAAACATTACACTGTTATACTATTTATTATTATACAATATGCTATAAACCATACCATTGACCATCACGTGAAACGTACTAAGAGGCAATGCCAGCGAATAGACTGCAGTCTGAAAGTCACCATAAAATACAATCAATCAAGAACCGAAATGGTTTATCACGTCCTTCCAATGATTACTGAGCCAGAATCCATCTTCTCGGTTGAAATTGTCTCTTTGTATATGTGGATGGCCTCATGAACGAATCTCTCATGGTAGCCGGATGGCTTGCAGAGAACCTCCGTCTTGGAGAAGTCCATGTCATGTGAGCCCACTGAATTATAACGGGAACACATTGCCAGTGAACTCAAGCACTTACACCAAGCTCTCAAGGCTTATGGTTACTCCGACACAATCCGCAAAGCCATCACTCCAACCATGAAGAAGGATCCTCTTAAGGAGCCATTCAAAACCATCACCTTACCCTACATTGCGGGGGTCACAAAAAATATCTCCAAAATCCTGAATAAACACAAGATCCAGGTCCGATTCAATACAGTACATAAAATCCGTGATCTGGTCCCGTCTGTAAAAGATGTGGTTCCAGACATACAGTACCCGGGCATATACAAACTAAGTTGCCTCTGTGGTAGCAGTTATATTGGAAAAACCAAACGATATGTCTCGGACCGCATCCGTGAACATAAAGCAGACCTGAAACACGGTAGGACGAACGCCTCAGCCGTGGCAGATCACTGTTATAATTCAGTGGGCCCACATGCGACGGTCAATGGTATGGTTTATAGCATATTGTATAATAATAAATAGTATAACAGTGTAATGTTTAATATAATTTATAAGGTAATATATAGTATCGTAATTGTATAGTGAATATACAGCAGTGTGGTATACAATACGGTTGGTAGAATAATACATAGTGTAACATTTACAAGTCTAATATTTTGATTTAAAGCTTTCGTGACTGCAGTAATTCATATTCTTAGTTTTTTCGGTAAAGTCACGTTGAAGAGAAACAACAAAATAATAAAATATATATAAAACAAAAAAAAATTCTCACGACGTTTCGACCATAACTCAAACGGTCGTCTTCAGGTGTGTTGGTTCGCATAAATTTATTTTTAAACGGCGCATTTATTTATTTATAAAAAAACGTTAGCGCCACGCGCAGCAATTTGGCAGTTTACCCAGGACTAGTCCATCTATATTCTGAAAAGAGGTGGGGGGAGACGAAATTTTTTATAATGTATGCTGTCTGAAAGCCACTGTAAGCGTGAACAATCAATTAAGAACTGAAATGGTTTATCAAATCTTTCCAATGATTGCTAAGATAGAATCCATCTTCTCAGTTGAAATTGTCTCTGTGCTTGTATATGTGGATAGCCTCATGAACGAATCTCTCATGGAAGCCAGATGGCTTACAAAGAACCTCTGTCTTGGAAAAGTCAATGGCATGTGAGCCTACTGAATTAGAACAATGATCTGCTACGGCCGAGGTGTTGGTCCTACCGTGTTTAAGGTCTGCTTTGTGTTCACGAATGCGGTCCGAGACATGGCGTTTGGTTTCTCCAATGTAACTACTACCACAGAGGCAACTTAGTTTGTAGACACCAGGGTATTGTATGTCCGGAATCACATCTTTTACAGACGGAACCAGATCACGGATTTTATGTAATGTGTTGAAACGGACCTGGATCTTGTGTTTATTCAAAATTTTGGAGATCTTTTTTGTGATCCCAGCAATGTAGGGTAAAGTGATGGTTTTGAAAGGCTCCTTAAGAGGGTTCTTCTTCATGGTTTGAGTGATAGCTTTGCGGATTGTATAGTCGGAGTAACCATTAGCCCTAAGAGCTTGGTGTACGTGCTTGAGTTCACTGCTTATGTGTTCCTGGTCGGATATGCATTGGGCTCTATGATACAGAGTCTGGATGAGAGAATTCTTCTGTGATGGATGGTGGTGGGAATCCGGTTTCAGATAAGCACCCGTATGGGTAGCTTTCCTGTAGACAGAGTGGCTCATTGAACCATCAGGTCTCTTTTTTAATTAGGACATCCAAAAAAGGTATCTTGCCATCTATTTCGACTTCCATGGTAAATCTGATGGCTGGGTGTATGGAATTGATGTGGTCGAAGAATTGGTCTAGAGCAGGCCGGCCATGTGGCCAGATGACAAAAGTGTCATCCACGTACCTCTTCCATAAGGTTGGGCGCAGAGTGGCAGTCTGGATGGCGTCAGTCTCAAATTTCTCCATATTAGAATAAGTCTAATATTATTATAGTCTAAAGTATAGGGCAGTGTATAGTCACGCAGTGTATAGTTCAATATTGGGGTCTGTCTATGGCAGTTTATAATACGGGGTATAGTCGTGAGATGTAAGAAAAAAGATTAGTTGGAGGCATATTGTAATAATTTTTGTGATATAGAAGTGTAATGTATAATGACTTATTGTTCGTAGCTCAGCTTATTGGAGAGTATATTGATCACGATATAGTTTTCTCCGATACCAAGGTACTTTGTAAACCCACAGGTTTTCATCAGAGATTTATCCACGAGGCAATTCAGATTTACAAACACAGACACAATTTCAACCGAGAAGATGGTTTCAAATTAAGCAACCATTGGAAAGATGTTCTAAATCATACCAAACATTAAACTAATTTTCAATGGTATTTATCCAAGTAGTGATATACCAAAGTTTCATAGAAGCTTATTTCACTTCACACCTACATTTGTAACCCCCCCCCCCCCGTGCCGGTCCTCTACGTTCCACTTCACACCCCCTCCCCCCCTCCGTGCCGGTCCTCTTGTGCTTTAGGGTCATTTTATGCTAATTCCTTTGTCAAAGCGTTTTGTTTCCTCCCACACAGCTTAAAAGGACGCGACCTGGGCTGGACTGTCTTCACTCCAACGCTGTCCTCGTGACAGTACGGTCCCCTTCACCTGATGAAGGCCACTTGTGTTGTGGCCGAAACATCGTTATTTTTGTTGTTTTATTTTTTACCTACGTGACTTTACCGAATAGAACCAAAGAGTATGGATCCTTGCAGTCACGAAAGCTTCAAATCTAGAAAAGAAGCTTAGCAGTGTTCATTAGAGCGCTGTCTTTCCAACAGTTCTGTTTCTTCACCTGAGGACGGCTGCTTGTGTTGTGGCCGAAACGTCGTGAGAATTTTATTATGTTTTATTTTTATTATTTTATTATTTCCCTTCTACGTGACTTTACCGAAAGAACAAAGATGAATCCCTGCAGTCACGAAAGCTGTAAATCGAAATAAAACATCCTGTTCGTGCAAGTGCTCATAGCCAGCACCTACTCATGCTGGCATGGAAAGGGATGTAGCATGGCCAGTATCACACCTGGCTGTCATCGTCTCTCCAACGATGATGTATACTAACTGCAAGAGGTAATCATTTATGGCTCAATCTACCTACGTGAGGTGCAAGACCGATTTATATATTCACTGCCATCGATGTTGGCTATGAGTGGGAATCAAACTCTGTCCACAGAGTTGGTCGCAAAATGCGTTAAACACTGAGCCACTGCTCCCCACATTACTCTCTCACATGCTCGTGACAAAATGATACACAGTCGAGACGGTGAGAGACAACGGCGGTCGGGCGTGGGCATGGCCAAACACCTCCTGGTGTATCATGCCAACCTTCATAGGTGGTCGCTACCAGCACTTGCCCCAACAGTCTGTTAAGGCTATAGGGTGCATCTTTGTCTCTATCCTGTGAGACAGTGGAGTTTATATGTTCTTTCCCTGTGTTGCGTGGGATTCGTCCAGGTTTTCTGCTGTCTTCTTGTAGCTAAACCTACAAACGTAGCTGGTTTTTGCTCAAAAGTTCCCACTGCTGAAATAATAACCGGGACATTACTCAATTGGGATTACATTCGGTAAAACATCCCCCTACTGGGACAAACTTGGCAGGAACCTCTTGAAAAAAAGTCTTGAGATTCAGCGAGACTCTGCTCAGTGAGGTAAAGCAGTAAGCCAGGGCGAGACAAATTACAAGCAAAGCCAATCAGCGGGCAAGCTTAGGGGCCATCCATTTGGTAGGTACGCAAAAATCTGTCAAAACTTGACCCCTCCGCCCCTCCCTGTACGACTTTTTACACCCCCCCCCCCAACTGCGTCAGTACAATAATATTAACGTGTTCTTGTTTACTAGCTTGCAACCTAGCTTTACACGCAGCTTTGTAGTTATACTTGACAGTGTTATGCATCCTGACTAGTTATTCAAAAACATGTGCGTCGACTGAACATCTGTAACAGTAGACCGATGTACAGACCAGTGTTAGTACTGAAGTCCGGGCAGTAGCAGCACGAACAGAGAGCACCACAGCAGCTACAATCTTGAGCCAGCGGCAGTCTGCAGTGAGGCTAGATTAGAGGATGTGTGATCATCCATGGGGCAGGCCGCCAGACTGTCAGACTCACTGCTGAGCTGCGTGATAGCTGCGAGTCAGGGGCACGGTGGCACACGAGTGGCACCTCTCCCACAGTCCTACATCTCCAGCTGAAGGAACTGAACTGTCGCTCATTTGAAGGCCAATGTCGACAAATAATTGAGGCTTCACCCTCCCCCCCCCGTTTCCTATGCGTACGTTGTCAGACCCCCCCCCCCCCATACGCAAGCGAACGCATTTGGGTTCACCCTCCCACCTCCCCCCTCCATGCATACGTACTGAATGATTGGCCCTTAGCAGGCTAGCCCTGCATGGGGTCGGCCCCACATTGTGATGTTTGAATACTACAACCTGTGCATCGATTCACAGTGACTGCATTGCTATTCAGACACGAAATAATAAGCGAGGCTTTCCTGGGTAAATAAACGTGACAATGCAAACTTTTACCTCGGAGCAAAATGAGCGGCGAACAGAGCCACGAGTCGACTCCCTGCTCTACTTCCTGGTTCCGGGACCTCGTGACGTCACGCGGAGGCGCGTGGGGGGGGGGAGCTCCCGGGTGACGTCATCGTAGTGGAAGCCCCCTCCCCTCGCCCGTCCCCCCCCTCGCCCGTCCCCACCCCCTCGCCCCCCCTTCGCCCGCCCCCCCCGACACAAGCACTGCTTCCCCAAAATGTGCCGCTTGGAATTGATAAAAGCTACCATACTGCCTCTACTTGACTACTGTGACATCGTGTATGAATCAGCCCCAAGTACTGTACTGAAGAAGCTTGATTCCATCTATCACTCGGCCTTAAGATTTGCATTAAACTGCCCATATAGGACTCACCACTGTGATCTCTACATTGGGTCAAACTTAACATTTCTTAATGTTCGACGGCTTGTGCACCAGATCTTATTTATTCACGATGGACTTACAAAAAAATCCACAGACTACCTACTGGATCTCCTCTCTGTTTCAAAGAACAAATTTGACCTCAGGTCTTCGCTCATTTACCAGCTTCACATTCCCTATTGCCGTACAAAAACCGGAGGAAGGGCCTTTGCTATTGATGCCCCCAGGGTCTGGAATGCTATTGCCAATAAACTGCAACTTGAATCACTACCTATGAGATCTTCACTCAAAACTGCTCTAGAGGAGTCGTACAACCCTAGCTGCCACTGCTATTCAGTGGCCTAAAATATGGCCCTAGATTTTGGTGTTATAATTTATTTATGTAGTTTATTGTTAAAAATTCGGTCACAGTCCCTATGATCACTGTTACATTGCATTTATGGCTTTTATTTTGGTGATTTCGAAAACGTTTTTTGTTTTTGGCCATGTTTTTGTTTATTGTAGTACGGAGTTAGACTGATGGCCTTAATCTTAGTTGTCTTGTGGTTGTTGTTATTTGACTTGCATCCCACTGGAATTTTTGCACACAGCGTTGGTGTACGGTGCTATTTCAGGAATATTTTGATAGTTTTTTTCCTGGATTTTCTGTTTGCACAGTCACATAATCACTTTAAGATGTTTTCTTGTTCATGTTTTTTGTTTGTTGAGGTTGCACCCGATTCAAGAGCCGAATGGCTCACAGGGCTATACCAAATAAATAAACTATGAGCTATGAAACACCCCCTCACCCCCCTCACCCCCCCTCACCCTCCACTGAGCGCGTCTCGCGCCGATTACGTCACGCAACCCGAGAACCAGGAAGTCAAATTTAGAAGTCGGCTTCATGGATCTCAACTGGTGCTGTGTGACCCGAGTTGATAATTGTCACATCGCGGTGGTGGAGGTTGTTGTCTGCCGAGATACAGCCTCGCTTCTAAGCTCTTTTTCTCTCTCGCAGGCATATCAATTGAGTAGCAGCAAGTATGAAATCGATGTTCAGGTTGGAACATTTCAACGTGAGGCCTAGCTATGCGGGGCTTGCCTCCTGCTCTCGCCTGATGACACTGGTCTACAATGTTTTATACGTCTGCCTCAGAGATGAAATGTGTTGTTTATTATGGAGTTTGTTGTGCTGAATTCAAATATGACAATTAAAACAACTGATTGGCTACTGTTCACAATATATTAAAGTTGTTAATTTTACGTCTTTGTATATTGTGTAGATAGAGTTTTACTCATAAATTGTAAACCTAGGTCTTTTCATGTGTTTATGGCTGCTTTACAGTTTACATTATAACATGTCACCTGTGCTGTTCATGTAACACTTAAACAAAACAGCAAATGGTTATATAAATATTTATTATGAAACAAGGCAAAAAACTTGTTTATACAGTGAGGGAAAAAAGTTTTGATCCCCTGCTAATTTTGTACGTTTGCCCACTGACAAAGAAATGATCAGTCTATAATTTTAATTGTAAGTTTATTTGAACAGTGAGAGACAATAACAACAAAATCCAGAAAAACGCATGTCAAAAATGTTATAAATTGATTTGCATTTTAATGAGGGAAATAAGTATTTGACCCCCTCTCAATCAGAAAGATTTCTAGCTCCCAGGTTTCTTTTATACAGGTAACAAGCTGATATTAGGAGCACACTCTTACAGGGAGTGCTCCTAATCTCAGCTTGTTACCTGTATAAAAGGCACCTGTCCACAGAAGCAATAAATCAGATTCCAAACTCTCCACCATGGCCTTGACCAAAGAGCTCTCCAAGGATGTCAGGGACAAGATTGTAGACCTACACAAGGCTGGAATGGGCTACAAGACCATTGCCAAGCAGCTTGGTGAGAAGGTGACAACAGTTGGTGCGATTATTCGCAAATGGAAGAAACACAAAAGAACTGTAAATCTCCCTCGGCCTGGGGCTCCATGCAAGATCTCACCTCGTGGAGTTGCAATGATCATGAGAACGGTGAGGAATCAGCCCAGAACTACACGGGAGGATCTTGTCAATGATCTCAAGGCAGCTGGGACCATAGTCACCAAGAAAACAATTGGTAACACTACGCCGTGAAGGACTGAAATCCTGCAGCACCCGCAAGGTCCCCCTGCTCAACAAGTCACGTAGGTATAAAATAAAAATAAATCACGACGTTTCGATTGCAACACAAGCAATCATCATTGAGGTCCCTTCCCTCAATCATGATTGCTTGTGTTGCAATAGAAACGTGATTTATTTTATTTTATACCTACGTGACTTTACCGATAGAACCAGAGTGGATTCCTGCAGTCACGAAAGCTTCAAATATTTAGTGACATTGCAACCAAGGCTTTCGGTATTGCGTCATACATGATATGTATGACGCAATACCAGGTTCAGATTGCATCATTCATCGTTTTGCTCAAAAAGCCAGTTCTGTCCAAACCCAGTCATATATTTACTCATAGATCCAGTCAAAGATATATTTTAGTCATTTCTGATTTAAATTGAGGTCCCTTCCCTTAACTCACTTATACTCCGCCATTCCCAAGTCAAGGGTCGTATATAGAGACCCAGTAGCATATCTTTAAAACGAGAGCCATTAAATAATTTTCAGCATCATTTTCATTCTCACTGACCCAGAATTAGTAAAGTTGGACTGTATTTATTTTGGAAGCGTTTTGGCTCTAGACCAGTGTTATATTTGATTTAATTATCTGTTTAAGTTTAATTTTTCTTCACCTAGCTGACTATTTTACTTCACTGAGTTTCAAACTGCCAAGTTGGTTTTGCAGTCGTGGGCGATGTTTCTGCGCGTATTCCCAATTGAATAATTTGCAGGCAGTTTTTCAGAATTGGGAAATTTGGTCCAGAAGTATATTTCAGTCCGACGTCAAAGTATTGCACAATTATACCTGCTCACACCCACCCACGAACTCAACCATTCACCTATCCACCCAAGTGCACTCACCGACTCACTCCCACATACTCATGCACTCATCCACCTACTGAATCACTCACCCGCCCACTCACACACTCAAATACAATGATCCCCCGTATAGCCTTTAATTGACTGTTGGGGCAAGTGCTGTTAGTAAGCACCTATGAAGGCCGGAATGGTACACGACTGTCTTTATCTCCCTTTTGGCAGTTTACTCACGGCACTAGGTATTCATTTGAGGCGGAGTCGACCTCGGGGAGCCCTAGGACCGGTTCAGATATTCATCACTGGTGTTGGCCGTGAGCGGGAATTGAACCCGGGTCGCCAGGTTCATTGTGCAGCACGCTAACCACTACACTAACGCATCCCACTCACACACTCGCCCACTCATCACCCACTTTACAACTCACTCGCCCACGCATTTGAGAATCAGTCAGAAGTTTATTTGCCGAGTAAAGCCAATTGAGCTAAGAAGCTATTTTTCAAGGGCGAATCAGGCGACACACATCAAAGCATTCTACACAATTTGCAGTTTTTAGCAACAAACCTAATACTAATAACAGCAATTGTTCGTAAAATTACATTAACACTTAAACTGTAGTGATTTGAATCATAGTGTAAATGCGGACAGAGATGGTAGAATGGAGACTCCAAGAGACTGACCTTGTGCGGTGATTCCAATACTTTGGGGCAGCTACATTAAATGCATTTGATCCGAAGTTGTTTGCAAATTGCGAGGAATCATTAATAAACAGACTCACACAGAGACCCATGGACTCACACAGACCAGACCCTTGGACTCTCCACACAGAGACTTCATAGACAATCATATGCTAGTTGCAGATTTTTAGGATTGTGCAACGGTAATAACAAGAGCTCAGACAAAGAGCAGATCTACGTGGACAGTCACTTTGTCAATGAGAATGGCCCTTTAGTGAAAATGTCTTCTCACGTACAAGGACCTTTGCCCTGCCATGGCATAGAGGTCACAGTGATGTGTTTTGCGATACAAGAGCATGCACTGTGAATCACAATGCAGCAGAGTTACATGTGGATGGGGTTTTTTTACTTATGGGAGAAAAGCAGATAATGTGGAGGAAACCCATGGAGAACAGGGAGAATAAACAAATTCCACTCACTCTCACTGCAGAACACAGATTATACAAACACCACTCACTATAGAACAAGGGAAGATCATACAAACTCCACTCACACTGTAGAATAGGAGGGAGGTCATACAACGTCCACTCTGTAGAACAGGCGGAGATCATACAACCTTCATGCAGAGCGGTACCCGATTCAGGAATGGAAACCGTAATTGAGCTGATGTGGTGAGATATCGCGGACCCTGGCAATGCCCTTTGTATATTTTGAGTGTGTATCTTC